TCGGTAGGTATTTAATTGACATCTTAGAAAAGGAATGCAGTTCGCTCTACCCCCATGTATAGTGTGATAGAGTGCAGTTTTGACCTGAACTATTACAACGTTTAAAGTTCTCGGTCACAAGCGTAATCGTACTTTAACTATAACAGTTTCTTAAAAAAGGGGTTAAAATCAAGTGTACCAATACATTCTTGCTCTGCGTGAAGAAAGGTGTAGCTGGTTATATCTCTCAGTAAAATCAATCCTTACGTGACTATATCCATACACTTATATTTGTTAGCAGTAGTTTGCTTTGTTTTAAACATATTTTATTCGAAAATGAAATGGATTGGGCACAAGTTACTAGTATCCTATAGGAACGCCCTCTCCCGGAAGTTACATATTTCATATTTACAATATAAAAACATTGACAACATGGATTTGTGGAATGAATTTACAAGGTGTTTAAAGAGGATCTGTATAGTATATACAGGAATAAACCTACAAAAATCTTTCAGTGAGCTTAATATATCTAATATATCTATGATAATTCCTTTTCTTATAGTGATAGTGTAATATGACCAAATAACAATAAATCTAGATTATTGGGTATGCGATGTTTAACGACAGTATTTACATTTACAAACAAATCTTTACGCTGCGTTGTGTACAAAGGACATTCTAAAATGCCATGAATTTTCACAAGAACAACCACAAGTACAAGATGCATCTGATCTTAAATTAATTCTGAATACATCGTAATTAAGCGGACTTGTATTGTACCTTAGTTTTGTGTGAACAGTGTTCAGTTTCCCTGTACCAGACCAAAAGAAAGGTGGGGCTGCATATATTGTATTTTAATTTTCAATTTAAAACCTGCTAAAGAATCTATATTTCTTATTTCTATGGGAACTTTGTTCCAAATTCGTATAGTAGATGGAAAACAAATTATGATAAGGAAAGTTTCAATCTCGTAAATGGAAGGGAGAAGTTTAAGGAGTTGCGAAGGTTATAAGATGATTTTTGGCCAACATATGTAGGTGGTAACTCCTGAAGATATGATGGTGCAATATTGTGAAGAATCTTATAAAATATACAAAGTTTTCTTTTTCTTCTACGTTCACTAAGGGTTTCCCAACCAGTTTCAAAATACAAGTGATCACGACAAGTATATTTTGGAAGTCCTGTCACTATACGAGCTGCTTCTAACTGTAACTGTTCTAAGGAGTTAGTTTGATCAGCTGTACATCCATCCCATAACTCACACGCATATTCAAAATGAGGACGAATGAAAACAGTGTGGATCTTGTTTAGGGTTGTTCCTTTCAACAAAAATTTAACTTTCTCATGGAATTTATCATTTATGGAGTAGTAGCACCCCTATATACGTCAATGTTAAATACATAAACAAATTCGCCAATATCTACATATATGACAGACAGTTTTCGGTTATCCAAAACAACAAATATGTCATTTTGCTACATACGGAAAGAGGTATCTGCGCATATCATAAAATGAAAATTAAACCAGAATTTTGGAGTAGTCCCCACCCCCTCACCTCTACATCCGCCCCTGCTTATACGGCATGACGTATATGATGTATTGATCATTGAGTGACGTGTGAAAGCTAGTTGACGGATCCATCAACATACTCTGCATTAATGTATGAATAACCAACATGCCCGGGTCTAAATACCGCGTTTCATGTTCCTCTTTCATGTACCTTGTCCCAGTATTGCGGACGTTATATCTCACAAGCAAATGCTTGTGATTCCGAAACTGAACCCGTGTACGTTTTCAACTTATTTAAATGTTCATTTAATATAACCTTCACTTAACTTTGTCCAGTATGGACATGCAGTTACACATGTTTTGTCGATGTCAAAAATGTTTTGTCAAATTGATTTAATGTTCTACCCTGCTATTATAATCACAATTATACATGTTATGTCCTCATGTGTTCTGGGCCATAAGTGAGTGAGTTTACTTTAACGCCGCACTCCTCAATACTCCAGCTACCCAGCTATCAACTTCACGATGTCGCAACGTTATGCTTGCGTCCGTACAACGTTATTCTACGGACTCCTATTTACGTTGTCACAACGCTGTGACGTGACGTTGCACAGTGACGTCATATTAACGTTGTCAGTAAGAATGGAAATTACTTTACTGTGACGTCATTATATTTGTGGAATAATAATCACCAACCTACAACCTTCTCACAACGTTCTGAAAACGTTGTGTCTTAGCTGGGTATGTGGTGGTAGTCTGTAAATATTCGAGTCTGGACCACATAATCCATTGATCAACAACATGAGCATCGATCTACGAAATTGGGATATTATAACATGTGTCAACCAAGTCAGCAAGCCTGACCACCCGATCCTGTTAGTAAACTGTTAAGACCGAAAATGGATTACTGAACATCAAATCTAACCCGGATCTTCACAGGTGTGGGCCATAAAAAGAGTTTCTAAACACCGAGGACGACAAATATCAGCACAATACCATATTGTATGCTGTATAATTGCCAAGAGAATGACATTCCGATGAACATTTCCAAATCACTCCATTCCACACGTGTGTTTGTATGAAAGATGTATGTGCGTGTATATGTCTGTATAACATTGTGTTTAAATATATGCGTATATACATGTTTATATTGTATATTTATAATATAATTAAATACAAAAATCAATGCCAGATGGTAGCATACTCAAAACTGAAGCGCTAAAGAGCCAGAACATAATAAGGGTGCAGTGGTGACAATTTACAGTTTTATTTTCGTCGGGTGATTTAGTTAACAAAAGGAACTCAGAAGTGTCTGAGCTTAATTAGCACATTCCATGATCACTAACAAATGCATAATGTCGACAAAACCCTAACACATCGGCGTGAAAATTTCCGAAAAACACGAATAGTAAACTAATTACCGAACCAATATCTGAGATTTAGGTATCAAAACGAAGGATTAAGCATACCCCCCCTAACAGAAGCACCTTTACAGCCAGATGTGTACAATCCATAGGGTGCCACAGATCACAATGAATGCATGAGAAATTTCTATGCTGAACAAAGTAATCCCATTGTCGCAGGAAACCAAAGTTACCTAACACGTTTAACGGTGAACGAGCTTTGAAAAACATAGGCGATAACATAGTAAAATCCAAGAATACAATGCAAGAGAAGAAAATTGACAAATTATAGACATGAAGGCAACTGAAAGCATCACAAAGGACGGTAGTCCAACGGACGATCAACAAACAGAGATGTATGATTTCTGCAAAACTACAGTCCGTTTGAGTCAGAAACGGACCGATGAATTGCAAATTTTATCATTGTACAAAATTGTCACAGAAATATATATCATTTACTAATACCCAACAGCTTTCTTATATTTGAAAATTTCCGGACTCCACCAAAAAAAGTTGTTAAAGAAACTATCATCATTGAAAGCGCAAAAGTTGTTATCTGTCGCGGCGGGGTGAAACCGTAGAAACGGAACAGCCAGTCATGGCGGGGGACATCTCAAAATCTATTCCGTGAGACCTGTCAAATATAAGAAAGCTGTTGGGTATTAGTAAATGATAAACATGTGTACTATTTATATTTCTGTGACAATTTTGTACAATGATAAAATTTGCAATTCATCGGTCCGTTTCTGACTCAAACGGACTGTAGGTTAAATCCTCACTTTCAAAGTGATGTATCGCTGTTTGAGCAATTAAGTATCTTCCATTGCTACTTTAGGTGTTGTCTTCAGTTGGTGATAGATAGATAGATCGTCTTTATTTCCTCCAAAATTGAAGATACATATGCATGATTTAGCAGACATTACATTTTACAAGGTACAAGTGTATGAAAGTTATACAATACAAAAACATTTAAAGATATGTATATATGGGGGGGATGTAAATCTAGTAACATGTGATGAAAAACCGTTTCCATTCATGAACAGCTTTACTCGTGATTTTCATACATTGAATCCATAGATCAGTATCAAGATCTCTAATGTTGTCATTTGGCACTCCTCCAAGTAGAAAACTAATCAGTGCATCATCATCATCATTCCAAACACTTACAAAGGTTGTAACATCCAATAGATCAATGAGGGAGCTAAGTAGTCGCTCTCTGTTACATTCCGTTTGTGGACAAAAGAGAAATACATGTTTTACAATGTCATAAGCATATGTGCCACATAAGCATTCTTTAGATTGTATAGCGAAAGTGCCGACACGGATAAGGTAGGATATGTCATAGAAATAATCTGAATCATTAAGAGCTATTAACCAAAGTTTGTTACTAGCAGCTGGATTGCGTAGGAGAGCGTATCTGTGGAGATTGACTCTGTAGTTAAGCTCAGAGGTAACGACATTTGCTTCAAATTTTGAGACTTTATCTCTTACAAGATTTGACCATTGATTTTTTGGTAACAAATACAGATGAGTTACGATAAATGTCAACATATTCAGTAAGATCATATTTACAGGTAAGATATAACATATGGTTACACTTCAGCATGTTTTGCATACTATCCTTACAATCATGTTGAGCTAATCTAAAGTGAAGAATTCGTTTGAAAATGAAACTAATATCAGTGTTAAGCAGTCTTCCCAGGAACAATAATGCTCTCTGATCAATATACGCACGTAGTGATACAAGTCCAAGACAGTCTCTGGCAATGACCGAGCACGTGCGTTTAGAGAACCCTTGTACTTTTTTACAGAAGTACTTTTGCACACATTCAAGCATATCGTATTCTTTAGTTGATATGTTACACCACATATTACAGGCAAATAGACCACAGGGTAGTACAATACGTTCCCATATGCGTACAGCATGCATAGGGTGAAGACCACCAAAATACAATCCATGACTGTGGTTAACATTGACTAGCTTTCTAAGCTTTTCACATATTAAAACAGTACGATTAAGGGTAGATTTAGCGGTGTTTATGTACAGGCCCGCATATACGACATCGGTTTTGCGGTTAATAACATGATCACCCAAAAATAGTTCTGGGCATTCGTGTTTATGATAATCACCAAACAGAAGGAAGGCACTTTTACCAGCATTAAACCTAAGGTGCCATGTTTTTGCATAATCAGATATAACATTCAATAAACATTGAAGACCATCGGGTGTACAACTTAATAGGGTTGTATCATCTGCAAGTAGGATACCAGGGGTAGTGGCCCAGGGCAGGTTTAAGCCTCTTCCTGAATTATCAGCAGCATTTAACAGATCGTTAATGTACAGTGTAAACAACCAAGCCGATAGGACCCGTCCTTGCCCAAAACCTGCTAAAGAATCTATATTTCTTATTTCTATGGGAACTTTGTTCCAAATTCGTATAGTAGATGGAAAACAAATGATGATAAGGAAAGTTTCAATCTCGTAAATGGAAGGGAGAAGTTTAAGGAGTTGCGAAGGTTATAAGATGATTTTTGGCCAACATATGTAGGTGGTAACTCCTGAAGATATGATGGTGCAATATTGTGAAGAATCTTATAAAATATACAAAGTTTTCTTTTTCTTCTACGTTCACTAAGGGTTTCCCAACCAGTTTCAAAATACAAGTGATCATGACAAGTATATTTTGGAAGTCCTGTCACTATACGAGCTGCTTCTAACTGTAACTGTTCTAAGGAGTTAGTTTGATCAGCTGTACATCCATCCCATAACTCACACGCATATTCAAAATGAGGACGAATGAAAACAGTGTGGATCTTGTTTAGGGTTGTTCCTTTCAACAAAAACTTTAACTTTCTCATGGAATTTATCATTTATGGAGTAGTAGAACCCTATATATACGTCAATGTTAAATACATAAACAAATTCGCCAATATCTACATATATGACAGACAGTTTTCGGTTATCCAAAACAACAAATATGTCATTTTGCTACATACGGAAAGAGGTATCTGCGCATATCATAAAATGAAAATTAAACCAGAATTTTGGAGTAGTCCCCACCCCCTCACCTCTACATCCGCCCCTGCTTATACGGCATGACGTATATGATGTATTGATCATTGAGTGACGTGTGAAAGCTAGTTGACGGATCCATCAACATACTCTGCATTAATGTATGAATAACCAACATGCCCGGGTCTAAAACGGACTGTAGGTTAAATCCTCACTTTCAAAGCGATGCATCGCTGTTTGAGCAATTAAGTATCTTCCATTGCTACTTTAGGTGTTGTCTTCAGTTGGTGATATATACGTGACAACAGGTTTCGGATCATCAACAAACACATCCCTCATTAAGGGAGTGTATGACTGGGAACCACTCGTTGACTCATGCAATGTGTCACCTTCATTGTTGTCTTCTACATTCCGTGCCCCGGGCAAGTAATCAGCCAACACAGGTGGAACAGGAATACCGTCATCATCATCACTGCCACTTGGTCCAGGGAAGTAGTCGGCCAAAACAGGAAGTGCAGGGGCACTGTTGTCTTCTTCCTCTGACGGTCCTTGTTGTTGTCTTTGCTGTTGAGATACTTCCTCGTAATCTTCTTCCTCTGCCCGTCCTCGTTGCTGCCCTTGCCGCTGAGATACTTCATCATAATCATCTATATCCCAGTACCGATGCACCTGGCAGTACTCTCCTGTTTCCACTTGCCCTGATCTCTCTGTAAGTATCGACTCATCTCTTTGGTGATTCCTGAAAATATACACATGAGTACTGATAGCTCTACAAGTTACCATTGATCACTAATAAACTAGTATCATACAGGTTGTTTATAAATAGTGTTTACATTCAGAAGTTAATATGTTTTGGAAATTATGGTGTTCCATACGTTTTAGTGTAAACCCCAGTCTGATTCATAATCCTACCAGATTTCTCAGGTATGCAAGTAAGTTATTGCATGTAAGTTGTTTTTATCATAATCATATTGATAACAAGTGCATTTTGTCAGAGATACCATGACAGATTACTGTCATAGTTCTAGAGTGCACATTGATTATCTTAAGATTGCTAAATAAGAAATCTTATCTTATGAAGTAACATTAATGTGATAAATTTAACGTACAGTTTTCAGAATAAATAGTTTAAATACCAACCTTTCTGTAGTTTGGCGACGACGACGAAAATGAAACACAAATATACAAACAGTACAAACTATAAGAAGTACAAATCCTGTCGATAGTCCTAGTCCCAAAACAGGCACGTTGCTTCCTGAAATATATTAACTAAAACTTAATTGTTGTAGCAGGCTGTGCAAATATTCAAATTCAGACCCAGCATGGGGTGAGGTCTGCAACGTGTTTTCGAACAAATTATTCCTGAACAAATACTGTCTATTTAGTATCATTAATACTGAGATACGGGCAAATGTTGTTGTTTTTACGGGCAAATGTTGTTGTTTCTAATAACTTAAGAAGGTAGGGACATTGCTGCGTTTCAGTTGATCTATATAACGTTTACCTTGAATACATATCCCCGAACTAGGATTACAAGCTTCTCCTGGGCAGTCTATGCAGGATAGTTGACAAAATGTCCATATTGTCCTTGGATACATCCATTGTCGCAAGACCCGTTGTTTGGGTAACAGGTGTGATTGAAACAGGTCCTCGGACAAGGCTTACAGTCATCTCCAAAATTACCAGACAGGCATCCGTCAATACAGGCACCCGTCTCATTGCAACCCAAACAGTTTGGGTTACATTTAATTGGCGAGGAACAGTGTGGGCCAGACATGTCATCTTCACAACCATTGATACACTCGCCACTGTATCTTTGACATTCAGATATGCAGGAGGGGGAACTGTTATTTGTCAAAGTGTCATTAGTTATAGCGGTAAGATTAGACAAACAATATTGGTGGCACCTTAAAGAGCATGTACGTCCATACAACCCGGGTGCGCATGTCTGTACACAATCAGTTGTTGAACAATGTTCACATGAGTATTCACAGTCTAGGCCATGATAAGGATCATGACACACATCACATCTGCCTGTTATCCTGTTACAATGTCGACATCTGGGTGAGCAATTCTTGCAGTTGGTCCCATAGTATTGGTCATTGCATCCAGCAACACAAGATGTTGTCAGATGGCAGAATGTTCCATCACATTCTTGAGGACATTTGGTGCACCTATTCTTTGGAAGTATGCACGGGGTTTTACATCGGGTACCATAGAAACCAGGTACACAACCGTCAGAACAACTATAAGTGCCACTCGGTGTCCGACTACATGTACTGTTTATGCACTGGTTGCTACAGCGGGACTTGCATCTGCGGCCGAAATACCCCGAAAAGCAATCTGTACTGCAGTATTGTGTTGTACTTGAGCAGTTTGAGCACTGTTGGCCCTCCGTGCACTCATCTGCTGTAAAAGAAGATAGGTTCATTGTAGACAAAAATAATTTCGTATGTCTGTTGGTACTGTTGAATACAAGTTTAGATAAATGTTCATATTACTGTTTTATGCCCCAGCAGTGCACTCAAAATTAACTCAAATCAACAAATTAACTAAACTGACAGAACACGAGGCCGGTAATATGTTTACACTATAAAAAAGACTGGAAACACGGTATGCCATTCGTCTTTCCGACAAATGTAAATATTTCTATTTAACTGAAGCAAAATACCCAATGAAAATAAACGTTACCTTGTGTTGACACAAGCGTCAGCGCTAGAATCAGTATCACCTGAATGTCCATAGCTGTCCTGAAACCATCATAACACAGCATATAAGTAAAGTACTGTGAAATTAAGCCTCAGATTCATTGGTTTCGTGATTTCAATTATCAGATAAATATGAATGTCATATCAACGGGTGAGTGATGGGTTTTGTTCACATACAAACGTACCTGTCCACTGCGTTAAGCTTCAGCTGTGTGGGCAAATGGGAGATGAAAACACTACTGAAGTGATGTCTCTGGTGTTGCTGGCCACACTGAGCTAGTGCTACGTGGACGTCATGGTTTCAGTGTGGTTTCAACTTCCCGTGGCCAAGGTCGGTAAACACAGCAAATATGTGCCTCATGCATACTAATACAAACGGTTGTGAAATGATGACATTGATATCACGGACATGCTCTCTACATGCGTTCTCAGATGTATTTATACTCGTACGGCACATTACATCACAGTCTCTGGACATATTTTACAGTGGCTTTGAGTAGCATAATTGTATAATGGTATATGTAGCCCAGTCGTCTAAGGTAATACCTGAGTTTTATTTCATATTAGAGTTTCGTTTCCGTCAAATATGAAAACTAGTTGAATAGAACTTGGTATCAGAAGTATTCATGGAGATATTTTAATATATCTTACTAAAACAATGGACATATACTTATTGAGTGATACAGGACAGTGATATAGAAAACACTGATGATATGGAAACTGATGAATGGAAGTGGAGGTGGTACGTAACAAATGACATGTGCAGAAAGGTCAAGGTCAAGATTCCGGATGAACTGTCAAGGTATGTTCTGATATTCTTCCCGCAAAGCCAGAAACAAAGCACCAGTCAGACCACTTCCTGTACGCAGTTGGGAGCATACCGTTCATGGCGCCGTCTGTACACACGTGCTCTTCCGTCAGGACGCTTGAGCATATACCGCGACTCATCACTGAACACGACACTTCTCCACCTTTGTAATGACCACTAGAGACCATTGTTTATATTGTTGCCGATTGTGTCGTGTGAGGATAGGTCCCCCGCAAAGGTCTCCCAGGACGAATACCAGCCTCACGTAGGCGGCCCCTGAGAGTTTGGTCCTGGCACTGCAGATGTTGAAGAGGATGCGGTCGTAAGTGTTTCGTAAGTGTCGAAGACGAATAAACCTGTCTTCGGCGGGTGTGGTCATCCGGGGTCTTCCTGACCGAGGAAGATCACGTCTCGTTCCATGCTGCTAGTGCCGATGCCAAAGTCTCCCTATGGTACTCTGGTACTCGGTTAGTCAGGCATGATTTCACTTCAAGATTTACGTTCGCCGCTAAAACAATCACACCCCATAGTTTTGATTGCAAATGATGCACGAAGTTTGCATGTGCAAGAAAGCGTTTTACAGATTTGGTTGCGATTTGGCGACAGGTTTTCAATAGAAATGGAATTAAAACTCGAAAATTGTTCGAGGGAACGTTCACCATAGACTCACATTTATGATTCATTTTCGAAAAATCACAGGAAACTTACTGGCTATGCGTTTTTGGGTTTGAGTAGAATATAAAGACAAATTTGTGAAATAAGGTTTAACAATATCTTTATAGCTATGGCGTGTCAGCTAGATGTGAGAGGAAGCCCCGAAATGAAGCAGATCTCGGGCAGTGACCTCTGTGCTGAATCCCTCGAGGACAGACTGACAAACCTGGAAACAATCAGGGTGAGTCGAGATTCGAACTCTCAGTCCTACGTTCCTGGAATACACCACTGAGCCCCAGAAGTTGGAAATAGCATTCTGGCTAAGTTGATGTATGCTTTGTCTCTGTTACTGTGTCTTTACTCAGTGAAGAGTTTAAGGGACAACCGCCATGTGGCTGGAATATTGTTGGGTGCGGCGTAAAACAACAACAACAACATGTTTAAGAGACATGGAAGTCTTTTGCAGGTCCTCACCATATGTTATATGTGAACTTTCCTGCAGCTTGTAGGAGTGTATGTGAGTACTAGGAGACACTGAACATTATTTTAACGAGGGCATATTTCCCGTAATCACTCGTACCGAGTTGGATATTCTATTTATTACCCATAATGTAGTTTAAAAAGAAGAACCACGAAATAAAAAACACCCGGAGACAGGACTTGTGACCTCAAACAGCTGATTCGTTTTCATACGCGTATTAAACCTAACTTCCCCAGCGGTAATAACATAACTACGCTATGGAAAATAGTGCCCAGTAAAATCGCTTTAAAATACAACAAAAATAGTTTGTGTGGAATAATTGATTAACCTTTGTTAATATGATAAAAATGATCTTTTAAATATGTCATTGAATTTAATAACAGCTAAACCGTTATTTGATCAAGTCATTGCGACGGAACATTGTTCATTCACGACTGACGTGTGTCCAGTGACGGGTGACGGTGTAGTGTTGAAACTTTGGCAACAACCTGTCAATTATTGGGAAAGTCAATGGTTAAAAGTTTGGAAATCTTAAACATAACCATCCCACGAATAGATCTAGAAAAAGTTTTCTGACAAGAAACTCAACAAGTTTGAAGATTAAACTACATTTTGTTCTGTGGAAGGCGTGTTACAGTCACGTCGTTGGTCCCATTAGAGTATAGCTGAAACAACAAGGATAACTGTAGTCGGAATCCGAGTCAAAGGGAGGAATACGCCTGACAGAGGGTCGACTGACATGGGAGTCATTCGGAAATGTTGAAGTGGGATACACAACCAGAAATTGGACCTGAGAATAGTGTATGTACAGAATGAAGAATTACGGCTTGCGACAAAAACTGACGTCATGGTGGCAGCCTGACGCTGAGGATGAGTGGACAGAGTAGTGGAGTTACAAGGGTTTGACAACAATTTATTGATGGACTGATGTTGTTTCTCATTAATTGAAGAGTAACTGTTTATTGATTGAATATTTTTGTGTCCGGAAATTTGCATGATTTGATGTACTGGTGCACCATTGTCAGAGAGGGTCTGGATGAAACGTTTACGGGCCTTCATCGGGGTTAGCCTAATGGTGGCCATGTTTGTTTACAAACAATGTAAACGATTGTTTTGGGTTTTTTAAGGTCATTTATTTTAAAAAGACTACTATTTATAATGCAGTTCTATTGGCAAAATAATAATGCCTAATACAAAGAGTATTCATATTCTTTAACCTTTATGTTTTCTTGTGTGACTACAGCACGTTCTTATTACCAATGTAACGGTAAAAGTTGTCAACGAACTATGATCATGAAAAGTAGTTCCGTCAACCAATCATATTTCTTCTCTGCTTAGCTGACCAATCAACGTTGAGAATCACTGAAAAGCACATGTGCGATTAGCACAAAAATAATCACCTGTGTATCCGAGCCCCTATGGGTAATAAATGTTCTTGTTACATCAATATAACCAACGTTATTCACAACATAAGTTTCCTGCTTTTATATAATGAGCGTTTCCTACTGTCTGATCCTTTCTTTTAGATGCCTGGTCTCGTAATGTCGGGGACACTTGTATCGCGGGTGTAGTATCCAGTATTGATGAGGGCAGTTTATGTTTTCACTTGTCTGCTTATTCTCTTGTTGAATACGAGTGTAGCATACAGAGTATATCACGGTTCCACGTTCTCCAAATGACTTGAATATTGGACATTACGTAGTTGGTGGCAGTCTCTATATGTAAACAAGTAACTGTCGCTGTAGATCACTAGCGCTGTTGTGAAGTTGTCCATCAATGACTCGGTAAAACAATAGTGACGATGCAGAGATTCCAAACCTGGGCAGTCGACTATTGGTACCAAAAAGCAGCAGACTGTGACGACTCAGTTAATGCCACCATAATGTGTGCAAGAAAATAGAGGATATTAGGAATTAACAGTCTTTGTCTTCGTCATCGTCTGGTCCAAATGGAAGGCATGTGGCCATATCTGCTTGTACGTAGCCGATCAGATAGCTGATTCGAAATGTTTTGTTTCTTAGCATCCAACATCACTAGACCAGATATTTATTATTAGAAACAAGCCTCTCACGAGTTGGTTCTTGTTCCACGCATCAATGAGAGCAGTACTGAGCGTTGTGCGTACGTTTGGACGTTGACGTATTCGTCATTAGTCGGCCCATGTTCTTCCACGTATCAGTGTCCACCAGAAAAGTCCCAGATGTGATCTAAAAGAAATCTATAACGTGGCAGGGGTGTTTCGCTTGTTTTGGAGGAACAAGGTCGTAATCCTGGCATACGAGCTTTATCATCATGAAAGATGAAACAATGACATGAGCAACGAGCAATAGCACAATACCTACTGGGGTTTCAATAATGCCTACATGAGACTCTACCATGAGTAATATGGGGCGCAGTTCAGTTCATTGTGACACCAAACTACTCCCAACACAATCATGCTGCACAACGTCAATGACCACAAAACACTCAGTACAATGTCTCCAGACACGATTCCTTTAGCAATGGATATATAGATTGAACCCGGCTCGTCAGAACACAGGACGAACGTAATTATTCCAAAAATGGCGTTGCCATCGTTACTGACACATTTGACTCAATTGACGTGCAGTAATTTGTTGGATAACACGTGGACGTAAGGCACATACATGTGATCTGTTGTAGATGATCATGTACCTTCTGGGCATAACCTCTTCCAGCAGATACCTATTCACTACCTGTGTTTAGTGAATATTGATAACCGACTTCTTTCGATGACCGTTCTGTTAACCGGTTCTGACATATAACTTACATAAATATGTATCTTGGGGTGTTTGTATTGTAATTTGGTATTTGTAATACTACTTTAGATGTCATTACTTAAATCTTTAACTTAACAACTAAAACAAATATGTAGCTGAACAGAAAATCACTATCCTTCAATTGTAATATTGATTACCACCCGTGAAATCCGGGTTGGAATCGTTTTTTCTTGGTGTGTCTGTTGTTTCTCGTCGACCTCAATTCTATCCCACAAGAAAAGCAACCTCCTATTATGAATAAAGTCCAAATATTATTGAATGTATTAAACAAACTAAACTACAAACACGCACGCACTCACGCATCCCAAACCCACCCCATTCCCACATACATACATGCATGCATGCATGCATACATACATACATACATACATACATACATACACATACATACATACATACATACATACATACATACATACATACATACATACATACATACATACATACATACATACATACATACATACACACACAATCTATCTCACTCACTTACTCACTCACTCACACATCACCGCCCCCGATAGCACATGTGTGCAGCACTACCGGGTGTGTGTGTGTGTGTGTGTGTGTGAGTTTCCTATTCCCTCTACTGGTGGTGATGTTTGTTGCATGTACGTATTGCGGAAGCCTTACTCATAGGCAAAATAAGTTAATCATCTCTGGTGAGGTTGCAGATGATAGGTCCATATATGACAAAACTATTAAAGGCCATTTAGCAAAATGAACAAAGCAATGATCTTCGTGTGGGGTGACAGTTTCATGCGGTGTTTCCGTACATGCCCGGAACTATAGCTACTGAATGGTGTTTCACAAACATGGTTCGGATAAAGTTAGACTTGTACACTGGACACAAGCCGTGTACCCTAACTCTCTCGTTGTGGGAAGGTTGTTGTATTTCTATACATGTGCAACTGTTTGTATACATGTACAGCTCTTCGCCTTCTCATACAGAAGCCTTTGCCATGGAGCTGACGCCTGGTTTTGTAAATATAAGAGCATGCCGTTCACAGAATAGTATTCAAACATTATTAATACCACCGCATGTTTGTTTCAGATAAAATATCTGTCCAGGACAATAATACACATAACTTTATAGCAAATTCATAGTCATCTCCTGGCTATACTATCTGCCCTTGTAGCCGTACAGCGTGTGGCTTTACGCCTGAAAGTACTAGTAACTGAATATTCTAATATGTATTGAGCATGGAAAGCAATTCTAGACTTTTGTCACCATACACGGAAATTGAAGCTTTTGCTAGCTGAAGCACACAAAATACTCCATTGCTATTAAATTCGTTTATATTTCCTGAAATAACAACATGCATATAAGAATCGAAAATAGGTTTACGGTTTGCATTTCAATGATAATGTGATATAAAATCACAGTTGAATGCATGTTTTTCTTTTCAAAGATTAATCTCAAATGGGGACAGGGTACAATTTTTCAGTAGTGATGAAAACCTGTTTGGAGGTTGACAAAAGATTTGTTTCCGGCTTTCTCATATTAAATATAACACATCGCAGTCTGTCCCAATTCACAGTGACTTGGAAAATGCGTAGTTTACAATGTCGAAGTGTCGATAACACCTGCAGCAGCTCTTTGTCCATAACTATACAGTGGTGACTTAATAGCCATATATATGAATGACATTTGCTTGCGAGTTCTCCACAATTCTCTGCTTTATCGACTCAGTGGTTATGTCACCACAACCTTGACGTTGGGCATTGACGCATAACAAGTGGAGTAGGCTTAGAATGTTGTTAACAGAAAGGTGATGTGTAACTTACAGTCGAACTATTATGTTAGATCTTTATGCATTCTAAAGCAAGCACAGAATTGTTTAACGATGTGTAGACAGTGACAAACCATTTGCAAATATGCAATGTGCACATGTGTTTGGGGTTTGTCTTAGGATAACCACTGACAGCGGGATCCTTGTTCTCATCATATACCGTATCGGTAGGGGAGATAGGTACTTGTCGGCAACCTCATCGGAAGAGCAGCCGTGTGGTGTAACTGATCAGTTTCTCTCAAAATAGGTTTTAAGATATATCTTATATATATATATATATGTCTGTGGGACAAGAGAGGGTGGTCAAATGTCGGAGAAATCATCATATGTTTTGATGTTCAAGCTTTTGTTTTGAGGGATTTGTTTCCCAAAACATATTATTCAATCTAATCAAACGTACATGTAATAGTATAACTAGTCTGGATTACCTGCCAACGCAGACTGAATTTGGCGTAGCAGGCACAATAACTGGGAAATTACATGGATGGATCATTGAACGTCTGTTAAGACACCAGGTGTTCTCCAGAGGGTAAGCATGCCCCACGCGTGTAACACCTGCCATTCACACAATTCCCATAAAAAGTATTTCTTGTCTAACTCCCAGTAGTTATCGTTGGACTGCAGCCTGTAAGTTAACCGGGCAATCAAGTGAATAATTTTCCAGAAAATGCATGACTCACTGGTGCATTTATTTGTTATGTTGAAACTAATAAATACGAAATGTTATTATGGAGTCCGAGGAAACTCGCGAGTGAACAAAGCAAACTACATAGCAAAAGCTGAATAGACATTAGTCTCATTTAATTCCTGTCGGTATTATGTTTCTGTTTCTCTTTCCGGAAATATTCACAACCACTTTCTCTTTGTAAAGATGTTTTCAAGCAAGTGCCCTCGATCTGTAAGGAGATTTGCATTTCTTTACAAATTAATACACGAGAGAGACGGAATACGTGAGTTCCTCCAAATTGACGTACTTTCATATGGGCTCAAAACTCAAGATGACATGCGTTATGTCCATGTATGTCGTGTTGGACATTATTTTGATGTTTGTACCTCAATGGTGATTGTACTAACCTATGGCAATTCTGTGAACTCCACGCAGGGCCATGTGGCATGGCGTTATCGGAATCTCGCAGTTGGAATCAAGGGAGCTACGTGCTGCAGACTAATCCCTTTTTATGCTTTGATACATTTCTGGACATTTTATTGAGTCTTATTTAGGGTGGCAGCACTTCTTCTCATAGCTGCACACAGAGTTCTAATAAAGGTACCTCCATGGGACGAATACGCTATTGCATGCGAAACGTACCAAGCAACGTATATTTGTAATCACATGCAGAAGATCAGTATCTGAGTACAATATCAGCCTATAGTAGTGTGATACTGAAGCGAGAGACAGGCAATATATAGATCACCTAGATTACTTATACTTACATGTTCAATGGAAATAGTGTGGGCATGTTTTTTGAAGAATAGCCTGCATGGGTACAATATGTGAAGCCCATTTCTAGTTTCCCCGCCGTGATGTGGCTGGAATATTGCTAAAAGCGGCGAAAAATCATACTCACTCACTCCTCCGCTGAAAACACATGACCTCTTCACCTATTCCTTTATGACTCCGAAATGGTGGGGTAGCCTAATGGATTAAAGCGTTCGCTCGCCAAACTCGACATTTTTCGACATTGTTTCACGCTTAAGACATGGGTTGGATTCACCATCTGGAATTTTCACAGTGTGATTTTCCTATTTCTGGTGTCCCCTGACGTGATGAGGTGTAAACTGAACTCACGTTTCAACACATGCAAGAAACAAACATTTCTAATGAAGTGCCATGCTACCCTGACACCATGCTGTCCTTGATAAGTAATGTTTGACATATTAAGATAAAACCTGCTACAGAGGGTTCGGCTGATCCTGGCACAGTCAGACTGGTAAGGCTCTCCATCAGCTCAGGGCCCTTGCCCCCTCCACACGCAGCCCAGACAGCGAAATTGGACTTCTCCCAGGAAACGGTGCCTAGTCAGACGCACCAAGAACGTTCTGGAGAAAAGAAGACTCCCAAACACTGCAGCCTTCTGCATTATTATCATGATTTTTTTTTAGCCATGCGTTGTGTGTTGTATCAGGGTCGTTTAATTCCAGAAATAACTTAAGCTTATATGGTTTCTTTTGATAAAGGTTTTAGAAAATCGTGCAGCATTATGCGTATTTCAAACTTGGTATTATTGAACGGGTTCATCTGGCCAGTTTAAACTTCACCACACATGTTGTGTTGATGGTGATTGTAAATTCATTTTCATTTTAACGAAACAAGGACACTTGAAACGGCATGTAAAGGACATTCACATTTGTTTTCAAATTTAAGCTTCTGTTTCAGGAATAAATGTCAAGTAACAGTGAACTACTTGAACTAATTTTCATTAATTAATCTTCGTGGGATCAAGAATAATTTTCTTGGCAGCGAGCCAATGTGTATAACAATATATATAATTTGTCGAAGAGTGTGTAGAGAATCAGACTTTGAGTCACTTAGACTGGCATTTGAACCAACTGATATCAGTTTATATCAGATGCAATGGCATAGTGCAATGTGCTGTTGTCAGTCCATGTCGCCAGTTGAGCTAGGTACAATTCCTTATGGTTTGTCACAGAGAAAGTATATATGTCACACAAGGACATAAATGACCACAAACTGCTATACATATGATATGAATTTAATGATGATTCATTGGTTTCAGAAGAAGATGGCATCACTCAAGGTATTAGGCAAGCCGTTTGCGATTACATTTGTATATATATATATATAATGTTTGATGTGACACTTAATTCTGTATGATTATATGAAAAGTGTGATACTTATCTTCCATAATGTCTACTGATGGAACTATGGAAACATAAAACGACCCATTCTACTAAAATGCGTTGTGTATGTAGAATATGTATGCGTGTAGTATATAGTCAAGCGAGAGGCAGATACGTGACAACTAACTATGTGATCACACACGAAACAAGACCACCCTTTCCTTTGGATTACGATTGCAGTAACTGTAGTGCTATGGGAAGATATTTCATCTTTATCTTTTGGCCAAAGATTGAGAAACATCCACATTTCGGGATTTGAGATGATGGCGGCCCAGGATCAATACATAGGGGAGTGATACTCAAGATAAGGAACCGTTGTAATGTACGTCTAAATGTCTGTGGCTCTGAATATGTGACCCTGTACATGTAACATAACAAATCACTTACACTTACACACGTTGAATGTACATTGTCGGTAGTGTATGCATGGTTCATGATGAAAACGGGCTTGCTGACTTGGTTGACACATGCCATATCCCGATTGCGTAGATCGATGCTGGAATGTGGATCACTGGATTCTCTGGTCCAGACACGTTTAGTTACAGACCGCCGCCATATAGCTGGAATATTGTGGCGTAAAACTAAACTCATTCACTCATGAAAACACATTACCTCGTCACCTATTCCTGTATGACTTACGTTACAGTACATGGCCTTCACATACTCATGATACAGTGACAAGATTAAGTACTTTTGGCAGATACTTCTTATGAACGTTGAAAGATTTTGTCGCTTCTATTTAAGTCTCCAGGGGCGGTGGGGTAGCTGAAGAACCATGTTTGATTCCGCACATGGTTACAATGTGTGAAGCCTATTTCTGGTGTGATATTGCTGGAATATGGATAAAAGAGGCGTAAAACTGAACTCGGTCACTTTATGACTCCATTACAATACATGATAGCACCGGGCATATTACCGTGCCAGTAAGTGGCCTTTGAAGTTATTATTATTTTCATCATTAGTTCATAGCCATGGGTTATGTGTTGTTAGCTTGTAATTTCGCTTCATTAAAGTTTAAGGACGACAGGCAACATTACACATATTTCAAACATTTCAGTGAGAATATTAACATATATGAAAGTACATTTACATTTGTTTTGAAAGCTTCTATGTCAGGATAAAATGTCAAGTGACGGTGAACTACTTGAACTAGATTTTATTCATTAATCTTCTTGGGGGCCAAGTATAATTTCATGGCAGCGACGTGATATCTGTTACAACTTAATTCATTTGTAGAATATTGTGTATACCCCATTGGCTTTACTTATATAAATGGTTGGCAGTTGAAACCAGATAGCGTCAATGTAATGGCATAGTGCAATGTGCAGTTGTCAGTCTATGTCGCCGATTGAACAAAGTGCATTTACTTTTAATGTAGGTATCAGCTGTAAACTGCCTTTACATGGGGAGAGTGTATGCGTCAGACAAGGACATACATGGCTATTGCAAAGTGCTACTGCACACATGCTTTATTGCAGTAACATTTCCCGTCACCACTAAATCATAACATATCGGTAGCAGGACAAAACTGGTATCAATCAAGGTATTAGTTTAGTTGTTTACCGTGTTTGTGTCTAGATTTGGCTTAACTAGTACTGTAATACATTCTCCCCTTTGAAGGTATTTGGACTGTTGGTGACAATTCAATTGACTTCTGCTCTCCCATTCGAAATTGTCAATGCAGAGCCCTTTTTCACCATTGAATTGGCAGTGATTGTATGAATGCAAATATCCCATGTGCGTGGATCGTATTCAGCTATAACGCACATGCAGGTGCACAACCTAAAGATAATATCTGACACTGAGAGGGCGTGTCACAGTGCCTCAATGATGTGGAGTGTAACAGTGTCCCTCCATATCTCTGTACGGTATACTTGCCTACCAGTTCCCTCACAATATACCCACGCATTACTCGAACACGGAGTTGATGTAATAAATATATACAAATATATACCCATTGTATAATATCTGTGTAATATCTCCTGTCCTTTTCACCCTCTACACTAATGATTGTGCAAGCTCGAATTCAACCTGTTCAACTGTAAAGTTCACAGATGATGCAGCAATTGTCGGCAAACTGAACGACACTGATTCTGAAGAACTGTATAAAGAGGACATTAATCATTTTACGACTTGGTGTGCAGAAAACCACTTACTCTTAAATGTCACAAAAACAAAGGAACTGATAAATGACTTTCGGAGCAAACCCACAGAAATGCTTCCAGTTTTAAACACGGTGAATGTGTTGAGACAGTGTCGGAGTACAAACCTTCATTGACCCTAAGCTGAACTGGAACTCTAACACTGAATCCCTATACAAAACGTGTCAACAACGTCTTCATCTCATGCGTAAACTGAGATCTTTAAACGTAACCCATCTGTGATGTCATCTTTTTATGTAGCATTTATTCAGAGTATCTTAACATTTTCCTTCCATTGTTGGTACGGGTCTCTCTCAGTTCATCTCAAATCTAAAATAGACAAAATTGTTAACACTGCAAGTAAAATCGCTGGAGTCAGGATTTGAATGTTTATCATCAATATATGAGCGGCAAATCGTGAATCAAGTTGTCAGAATCATATCTGACCGTACTCACTACTTGAATTCGGAATACAACCACCTTCCTTCAGGCCGCCGATACAAAGTTCCACTAGTGAAATCCAAGAGAGCCCGTACATCCTTTATTCCAAGTACCATATCTCTTTAAAACAAAATGTGAAGATACCTAAATCAAAGAATATATATGCAACATATGTTTGGCATCTCTGTAATGTGGCCTTCTTCAGTAGCCCTTGGCTTGATATAACAGAATTTCCTTGAAAAGGCATTAAAGCATTATTCCTATTTCTATAGCTCAAAATTGGTACAATCAAATCTCCTCTTTGAAGCAGGAGATTCGTTGGTGGATGTGGACAGGGTTTTGTCTCTTCTTATTATTGTAGGCAGGTGATAGGTGCACACAGTAACATTCAGTTTTAACGTATGCTGATTACGACCATCTACTGAGATATGTTCACCTCAGCCGTCAAATGATACAAGGGTTGTTGTTCAGACTTTACGAATGTTCTGTTGTTATATACATGTTTCTAATCTGATATATAGAATATCAATGTCCCTCAGATGTGCATTGATACATGTTTTTGTTCACCTATGTTCAAAAGATTCATTTGGTGGAAAGACGTGTGTGTGCCATTCTATCAAGAATTGTATGTTCGTACTTATTTTAATCATTTACAAGTATTGTAGTTATTGTTTGCACCACGATTTAAGGCAGTTTCAATTAGTGTTTCATAACCCG